CAGCCTAACTGGAACAAAAAGACCTTGGAAGAAAGTTGTTAAAAAGGACTATTCTTTCCATTTTAGAGCTGTGTGTGGCCTTCAAATTTGTAGAAATACATGTATGTTAGATATTGTTAGTAACAAGACTGGCATAACTTCCAGTCAGAACTACTATTCATATTTCTAAAGAGAAACTATGGCATATGGATAAACCACAGACCAGGACTTTCTTAGATAATTCTAGGTCACAAGGTCACAACACACTGAAAACCACATCTTCAATTCTGTATCACAAAGGCCAGAGAGAACTCAAGTCCCAACACTAGATAACCCCTATGGTCTCTAAGGAATTGATATTATAAAATGCCTCACCTCAACAAACGTCCTGAGTGTAGTTTCAAATCCCATCTCCAATTTTCACTACATATTTTAGACATAAGAAAAAACAGTTGAAGTTTGTTCATTAACAATGTTTCTACTTTGTTGTAAATAAATCTGCCTTGTAGTAAAATAGTCACATAATTCAAATGAAAACAAAAATCATAGGAAACTTAAAAAGTCAATTATCCTCCCAGGGAAAAGTATTAATATTAAAATCTCTATCAATGTATTTAATCAAAAACATTAAATGACCAGGTGTGGTGTCGGGCTGGGCAGATAGCTCAGTTGGTAGAGTGCTTGCCTTGCATGCACAAGGCCCTAGGTTCAATCCCCAGCACCACAATAAAAATAAAAATAAAAATAAAATAATCAGGTATGGTGATGTACATATGTAATCCCAGTGACTCAGGAGACTGAGCCAGAAGGATCGAAAGTTCGAGGCCAGCCTCATTAATTTAGCAAGACTCTGCTTCAAAATAAAAAATTAAAAGGGTGACTCAGGGCACAGTGGCGCATGCCTGTAATCCCAGCAGCTCAGAAGGCTGAGGCAGGAGGATTTGCTAGTTCATAGGCAGTCTCAGCAACTTTGTGAGGCACTTAGCAATTCAGTAAGACCCTATCTTTAAATATTTTTAAAAGGGCTGGGGATGTGGCTCATTGGTTAAACACTCCTGGGTTCAATCCCTGTACCAAAAAAAAAGGATTGAGATATAGCTCAGTGGTAAAGCTCCCCTGGGTTCAATTCCCAGTACCAAAACAAAACTAAACAAAAACAAAAACAAAAAAAACTTAAATAAATAGGGCTGGGGTTGTAGCTCAGTGATATAGCACTTGCCTAGCACGGGTGAGGCACTGGATCAGATCTTTGGCACCACATAAAAATAAATACAACTAAAAATAAAATAATAAATAAAAACAAGCATTAAATACATAAACAGAAGTCTAAACCCCAAGACACATTCACTCCTTCTTAGTAACAAATGAGTTAAAAAGTGATAAAAATTCCAGGAGCAGTGGCACAGGCCTGTAATCCCAGTGGCTTGGAAGGCTGACACAGGAGGATTGCAAGTTCAAATCCAACCTTGGCAATTTAGTGAGACTCTGTCTCAAAACAAAAAAATAGAAAAGGTTGAGGATGTAGCTCAATGGTAAAGCGCCCCTGGGTTCAATCCCTGGTACCAAAAAAGAAAAAATAAGTTGCATTAACTTTACCTAGGTAACTAACATTACCCTAGGGCAAGAGAAATATTCAGGGAGTCACACATTTCCCTTGATGTCAATTTTAAAAATTAAAGAGCTGGTTTCTTTGATAAGAAAAAAGGGAGAACAAAAAAATTTTAAATTATATCTTTAAGCTTCTGGTCCAATAAATTTTTAAAAATTGCCTCATGGCCACAATATCAAACTCAATTCCATTTTCCCTCCAAAATCATGAGTCATATCAAACATTTGGTGTCCATGAAAACTGCTGCTGTTTAAATTCATTCGATTAAAAATTGAGTTCCCAGGGGCTGTGGCTCAGTGGTAGAGTACTCACCTAGCATGTGTGAGGTACTGGGCTGGATCCTCAGCACCACATAAAAATAATAAATGAATAAAGATATATATGTATATTTGAGTTCCCACACCTAAACAAGTATAATCTATATTCAACCAGAAAAGCTGAATACCAACTTTACCTATCCTACAGTTCCATGCTTACACTTAGTATCAATTTTTTTCTCAAATTGGGGTAAAAAAAAGCACGGTAAAATTTCACGAGTGTAGCTATTAAGTACACAGAACCTGATGAAAAGGGAAAATGGATGTTCTATACTCCAACCTCTCCTGTGTGACTTTTCAAAAAAAAAATGGTTTAAAATTGTTTATATGCTAGTTTATTATTTTTTTAATTTTATAGTTGTTGATGGGCCTTTATTTTAGTTATTTATATGTGGTGCTGAGAGTGGCTAACCCAGTGCCTCACTCGTGCTAGGCAAGCGCTCTACCACTGAGCTACAATCCCAGCCCCACATATGCTACTTTAAATGAGACTAAACCCTTACGTGCCAAATCTTAACTTGCCACGGTAATGGAATAAAGAGCTAAGCATATAGTCGTCTTCTCTCAGACAATGCCAAAGTTTTGAGTCAATAATTTCACACGACTCTCCATTAACTTTCCATGAACCTAACTAACAAAAAAATAGACAGGCTGAGATTTCAAATCATTTCTTGCTCTTCTTTTGGCGGAGGCAGAAAGAGGGGGCACGGCAGAGAAAAAGGAGCACAAACACGGGGTATTCGAAAATAAAACAGTCCTGAGTGAGGGACAACTACTGGAAAACAGAGAGAAGAAAAATAAGAACTTTGCATTCTCAGTCCTCAGACTCCCTTCCAGAATTCAGCACTACTTGCCAAAAGCAATGGCATTAGACCAAATTACTAAATATCACCCACAATCTTCCGCTTCGACTCCCCGACACTTTGTCCAACCACTCTCAGTTATGACACTCCCAGGCAGTGCTTGCCGAGCAGTGCTAATGCATCCCAAGTAAGGGAAATCTGAGGCCCAGAGGGGGCACGGCGAGCTTGTAAAGAAAACTCCCAGAGTTCGCAAGCGGGGACCCGAACAGAAAGTCTGCTCACGGTGCAGGCTGCAGAGCCATCTCTTCTGGTCTTCACCTTTACACAAGGGTGGTCCACCTGGGACGGGGGACAGAGGGCTCCCTCCCGCCGCCGCCTCAGTCCCTCGGGACGCGGCGCGAGCCCCTACCCTCTGCCAGCAGAGCTGCGGGACAAGACCTCCACCTTCTCGCTTCAACCCTCCGCCCCGCTCAATAGGATACAACCGCCATCTCTTTCTGACCTGTCCCCGCGGGGTCCGAGTCCGTAGTGCGACGCCTCCATGCCGGCCGCTTCACGAGCGGCACCCACCACCAGACCCCGGGACGCCGATGCTAGGGTGGCAAGTCTGGCCGGCAGCCGGACCCCGCCCCCTGGCAACCACACCCCGCACTGTCGCCACCGCCTATTGGCCCACGGACCGGCCGCTCCTCCCTCATTGGCTATTGGTGCCAGCCGGCGATGCGGGAGGGTTTCTAGGGGGCGGGAGCAGCACGGGAGTTAAAGGCGCCTGCGCAGGGGCAGGGATGACGCGCCTGGGCTTGGTCCCCTGGAGAGCCCCGCCGGGCAGGGGGCCGCGACCGAGGGTAGAAGTCTGTGATCTCGGTTGCCTTTGCTCCGGCTTGCTGAGAAGCGGCTCAGTGGGAGGAGCCCATCCCCCAATACCGCCACACGTAGCGGCTTCCCGCACCCCAGCGGTGTACCAAGACCACCCAGAGTGCTCCCAGGAGTCTGTAGGTCTCCATTTACAAAACCTCTACAGCCAGCTTCTCCATAGTCTGGTCCTTTCCTTGATACCAGAGGCCTTCCTGGAACCACGCCTGTGCCTTCACTGCACAACACTCTTTCAGCCTCCAACTACTACAGCCCAAACTTCTTGATCATCCCCAAACCTGCTCTGAAAACACACCAGAGAATCCATCTACCTCTCTACTGCCTGTGGATCTTCTTCAAACATTTCAAACATCGTTATCCAAGAGAGCCACTATCTAAACTTGGTAAACTTATACTCTTGTTTCTAATAAATCACGTACCCAACCATCATTCCCTTCTGGTTACCAACATAGCATTAGCATTATAGCCCCCACAGAACTTCCTAACAGAAGTTACTTACACATAGACTACTAGCATTCTAAGGTCAAAGTTTGCACATTCGTTTTGAATCCAGAAGTTAATTTGTTAAGGAGAACTTTGGAGAACACAGCATTGCACTCACTGGGTCAGCTTCCACTCACTGGGTGACACTGAACATGGTTCATTTCTTTGTTGTCCTCTCCCCCGCCACCCAAATGGGGGATGGATCCCAGGATCTCAGCTTGGCAGGCAAGTGCTCTACAACTGAAGCACATCCCCAACTCTTGTGGTTCATTTTCTATGCTTTAAATTCCCATCTATAAAATAAGCAAAACCTGACAGAGTAGGCTTATGTAAAGGCTAAATGATGGGGTTGAATGAGATCACATTTGTATGAGTAAAATGATGGCTGAGACATTTCTTTGGGCAGTCCTTCTGCATTAATTACCATAAGCAGTATTCTTTGAAAACTTTCCATATTTATTTACCTCAGTTTAAATCCTTAGCTTAAGAAACCATTTTTCCACCCTATTTAATTTTACAATTTCTTTCAGTTGGAAACAAAAATATAAAACACAAGCAAACCTAAGTGACTATAGTCTGTGACCCCTTCATCCCATTGTATTCACGAAAACAAGGCTTGCTCCATTTCATCTTGCCTTTTCAGATGAGCCAAAGTTGGAGAGGTGGCAGTCAACCATAAAAAGTCTGAGTTTCCTTTGACTTTTTTCCATCAAGTCAAAGAGGAAGCTGCCACTGAGCCTCAGAGTTAGTACTCAAAAAATGTGGACTGGGCTGGAGTTGTACAGTGCTGACCTAGCATGAAGAAAAAAAATCCCAGCACTGGGGGGGGGAAAAAAAAGTGGAATTAATTAATTTAAATGAGATTAAAGGATTAAAGAATAGAAATAAAACCTTTTGTGGATAGGCAATATTACCACAATACTAACAGAAGCAAAGTTCTCTAAGAACCTTCTGTAACCCTTTATTTACATACATTTTAAACAGTTAATGCAAGATATTTACAAATTTTAAACAATAAAAGAAAAATATGAAGTGAACAGTTCATGACACTAAATTCAACTGTTTATGAAATATTTTTAATCTGGGAATTGAATTCCCTTGCTACTCTAGGGCTCTAGTTAAAATATTTTTTCTGTTGGCACTATTCTATTTTATTCTTTCAATAAAGTCTGTTATAAACCAGAAAAAATGACTTTATCAACTTCATGAAATTTAGCAATTTCTGAGACTATGATGAGAGAACATGATGTCTGAGAAATCCAGTCAGCTTTTTACAAGGAACTGGCTACTGTTCAGCTTCCCTCTCTCCTTGAGGTAAGTCAACAGGTGCCTTCGTCTCCTCCATGTGACCTTTATCCCATACTTCTCTTCAGGGGTGTCTTTAACCAGAATAGGTCCAGGTTCTGGGCTGGTAGGAGTACTAGTTTGAAGGACACAGCTTACAAGGCTGTTTTCCCTCTGATCTGGGGAAAAGGAGTTCTCCTTCACAGATGATGACTCTGGGGTCTGGATATCAGGCGGAATAAACACATAAGGAAAGTTCTGAAATGCATTTGCTGACAGTTCCCCACAGCTTTGGGGACTGAGCACTGGAATTAAGGGTTTTCTGGAAATGTCCTTTCCTGATTGATTGGGGCATCCCTTTACTAAGGGGATCCCCAGTGTCTCTGAACTGGAAGACAGCTGTGGACTCTCAAAGGTTAGACATGGAAACTTGCAGGTAGATTTTCGGCTTGAATGTCTTGCTTCATGTTGGTGACGATGTTTCCGGTGGGCTGGGAAACAGCTTTCTACTGTTGTGTCAAACTGAGGTGTTACCTAAGGATCAAAAAAAAAAAAAAAAAAAAAGTGAACCAACTAGGCAAGAAAATGACATCCAAAGAGCAGAACCCTAAATGCGGTCCCACTATAGTAATGGACACAGAACAAAAATAGTTATCTAGTAAGACAATAATAATAGATAAAGGGGTCAAGGGTATGGCTCAGTGGTAGTGTGCTATACCTAGCATGCATGAGGCCCTGGGTTCAATCCCCAGCACCACAAAAATATGTAATAATACTAATAATGGTAACAACAACAACAATAATAATAGAATATGAGCTTTAGGCAAGTTATTCAATCTCTCTGGTTTCAGTTTCCTCCTATATAAGAGAGAGGACAATGCTTCTTTCACTTTATCACATCATATAGCTACAAATGTTTAACTGTCTTTAAACTTCGTGAGGGCAGGATTGGGATAGAGCACATACTTAGCATGCTCAAGGCATGGGTTTAATGCCTAGTTCAAAAACAAAAAGAAAACAAAACAGGGCCGGGATTGTGGTTCAGCGGTAGAGCGCTCGCCTAGCAGGGGTGGGACCCGGGTTCCATCCTCAGCACCACATAAAAATAAAGGCATTGTGTTGTGTCCAACTACACCTAAAAAATTAAAAAAGAAAAAAGAAAACAAAACAAAACAAAAGTCATAAGGCAACAACCAGTAATCTTTTTCACCACTGACTTCCCAACATCTTGCAAAGTGCCTGACACACAGAAGGCCTTAAGTAAATAAATGTCAGACTGCAAGAATAGGGCACAAGATCATATACAGAAAGTGACTAACATAGGACCTGGCACACAATGAGTACTCCGTAAGTGTTCATTCTCATCCATAGAATTTTAAACTGTAAGTTGCTTCTATAATAATGAAGTAATATGCTTCTTCCAAGCTGTCCTGATCAAATTATATTTATTAAGCACTGTTAAGCACAGCATATGCTCTTGGCCTTTTTACTATACTATTTCTGTTATATAGTAGGTATATTTTCTTCCTGGATCTCCACCCACTACCCCACCTCCTTTTTTATGCTGGGGATTGAATCCAGGGCCTTGTGAATGCTAAGCAAACCCTCTACCACAGAGTTACATCCCCAGCCTCACTAAGGCAAATATGGTATGTGCCATTTTGGGTGATTTTTTCTTTTTGTCAAGCTTCAATCCATTAAACAGTGGACAGAGTACTTAGCTAAATACTCTATCTTTGACATGAAGTTCAGGGAACAGTCTCACTTTTTATTTGTCTGCCAATGGTCTGGTTTCTCACCTACTTACTAGGAAATGAAACTTTAACACCAAACTTTTGCAGAGGAATGTGGTAGTAAAGACTCCAATTCCATACCTGGGTCTGACCTAAGAAAAGAAGATATACCAGGGAAGATGGCTGACCACAGGAAAGCATACATTGCTTTCATGGACCTTATTCTTTGGAAGCCCTGGTTCAAGAAGAGTTGACAGATCTTTTTGAGACAGGATCTCACTAAGTTGCTTAGGGCCTTGCTAAGTTGCTGAGACTGGCCTCCAACTTGCAATCCTCCTTCCTCAGCCTCCCTAGTTGCTGGGATTACAGCTGTGTGCTACCATGCCCAACAATTAAGAGTTGACATTCTAAAAAGCCTAACAGTAAAAATCAAAGTAAGGATCCCCTACCCAAGAAGTGATAGTGCTGTGGTCTATAGGCTTGCTGGGCACCTGTCTAGTGTGGGTGATGGGCCTCTGTGGAGCTCCATAGTGATGTTTGGGGCCCTCCAGTGGCTGCTGGTGGAATAACAGCTGAGCTTTGCGGGAAGATTGGCCGAGTCTTCTTTTGGGAGGCATCAATAGGTGAATGAAGGGCAGTTAGTAACCACATGGTGCTGGCTGCCTTTGGGTTGTGGAGTAGGTTCCAATTCAAACCCATGCCTGCAGAGAAGAAACAAAAGCTGCAAGAAAACAATTCAGATGATTCCCCAGCTCTTCCTGATACCCTGCCAGTCAATTCTACCAGAAATTACCACCTTGACTTCAAAAGATTGTGAGGAACACAGCCTTTTTTTCTTTTATTTTTTTTAAAGTTGTAGATGGACACAATATCTTTATTTTTATTTATTTATTTTCACGTGGTGCTGAGGATCAAACCCAGGGCCTCATGCGTTCAAGGCGAGCACTCTATCACTGAGCTACATTCCCAGCCCAAGCATAGCCATTTTTTTTTTTTTTTAATTTTGATTCAGATTCTTGCTAAATTACTTTGGGACTCACTAAGTTGCTAAGACTGGCTTTGAACTTGTGATCCTCCTGCCTCAGTCCCTCAAGTCACTGGGATTATAGGCAGGCACCACTGCACCCAACAACCACAGCTTCTAATAATAATACATATACCACCAAGCAAAAACACAATTTTCATATCCAACAAGGCTTATTCAATAAATATTTATTGAGCTCATGTTAACTGCCATACTGGATGCTGGGAATATAAAAAAAGAATATTTATTCAACAATCACTTATTAAATGCCAAACTCTTGGAGCAATACAGAGGTTCCTATCTTCAAAGACCTCAGAGTTGGACAGTAGCTTAGTGGTAGACTGCTTGCCAAGCATGCATGGAGATTGGATTCTATCCCTAGCACTGCAAAAAAGAAAAGGAACTGAAAGTCCAGCAGAGAACAGACATTTTCAACACAAACAGTACAATATATTTCAATATAATGTTACCATTTGCTTCATGAGAGGCTTTCTGGACAAGGTTATTCCTGACCTATGAATGGAATGGCTTGGAGAAGCAAAAGGCAGGGAGCGTTTTCCAGCCTGAGGAACAGCATATACAAAGCCCATCTTGGTAATTTGGGAATTATAAACTCGGTGTGGGTGGGTACAGAGTATGAAAAGAAAGGGTAAGAAATGAGGCTGGACATGTTGTCAGTGTCAGGTGGTGAAACCATAGAATTTGGACTTGAGCCTGAGTAGTTGAGTATTTTCAAGCGAAGGAATATGATCATATTTGGCTTTTCTTATTTTTTCATCCCAGATAATTTCAAATATAAATAAAAGTAGACTAATATAATGGGCCCCATGTACTCATCACACAGCTCCAACCACCATCAATCCATGACCAACCCTGACCTGACCATGCTCTGACCCATTAACCCCACCCCTACACTATGTTGAAGAACATATATTGTGAATCATTATATCATTCCCATTTACATAACTAAATAAATCAAATACAGATTCCTTAATATTGTAAAATAACCAGGAAGTGTTCAAATTTTCAAATTGTTCCATAAACATCCTAATTTTTTTAAATTTATTTGTGTACTTTATACAGATTATCCTGGCCACAGTATAAAAGGAGAACAATTACCTTGGAAGTGTGAAGACCTGTTAGGAGGTTACTGTGTCATCTAAGTGAGAAATGATGGGGGCCTAAATCCAGGCTGTCAGTGGAGAGGGGAGGCTGACACACAGAGGCAAGGTCCGCAGATAATGTGTCCATTGGATCTAGTAACCCGTGAACTTTACTAAGAGCCTTTCCTGTGGAATGGTGGGACAGACAAGTGTGAATACAGTAGGTAGAGAATGAAATGGGAGTTGCCGCCTAGCACACTGGAAAGCCACACAATAGGGCAGAATGGTTCTACTATACAGTACTATACTATTCATTCATTTGATCAACAATAAAAAATTATACACTGTGACTTAAATGACAAAGCAGTGGAGGGAAATATAAAAAAAGAAAAAGGCATAACATCTCCACTCTAAAGGACTTACATTCTAGTTGGGAAGTGAAGAAAAACCAAACACAACAAGGGGTTTCAATGGCTTTATGCTTTTGTAGACAGGTTTGTCAGGGAAGGCCTACCTGACCTGAGTGAAGAAAGGAGAAAAAAACAGGTAATGGAAAGACAGGAGCAAAAATTCCAGGTTAAGAGAAGAGTAAATGCAAAGACTCCAAGGTAGAACTCTGACATGTTCAAGAAACTGGCTAAGGCTCTGCCTCCTCTGACTGGCACCACACCCATTCAAGTGTCTTAGCTCAAAACTCTCAGCTTCACTTCAATCTCTGTGCTCAGCATGCCTCCTACAGACTGGCAGCTAGCGCACACATAATTCCAACTACTTAGACTTTCCCTCCCTTCTTTGTAGAAGGCACCCACTTTTACAGGAAGCCTCAGTTCATCAGAAAAGCCTTCCCTGTCCTAAGGTAAGATCTCATCATAAGTAATAGGCAGGAGAATCACCTGAGGCCAGGAGTTTTAAGACCAACCTGGACAAAATAGGAGGCCTGGTCCCCTATCTCCCGGCCCCACCCGCTACAAAAAAAAAATAATAATAAAGGCGGTGGGGGTCCGGCCTATCATCCCATCCACTGAGGCCAAAACCACAAGTTCGGGGCCAGCCGCAGCAACTTAGTGAGACCGTCTCAAATTTTAAAAATAAATAAATAAATAAAAGGGCTGGTGATGTCGCTCAGTGGTAAAGTGTCCCTGGGTTCAATCCCCGATACGGAAAATAAAAAAAAATCAAAGTATCACTGACCTACTTTGTCACTTTACAGCTATAATTAAGTATGTGTTTATTTGGTTCTTGGACAATGTCTGCTCTGTGAGGATGCTCGGGGGAAGGAAAGGACTCGTCTGTGGTTGTATTTTCAGGCTCTAGAAGTGCCTGGCACACAGCAGCGGCTCGACAAAATTTGAATATGCACTAGTCCTTCTAAAGGTTTGGCTTCAGAGGGGGAAGAGAGACCCGCGGAGAAGACGCCAAGACGCCGCGCTGAGCCAGGGCTCCTGGGGAGTGCGCGCGCGTGGGTTGGAGACCCGCCCTGGAACAGGACGGCAGGCCGCCCGTGGTCGGGGGAACCCGACCCTCTAACTGGATGTAGGCCGAGTGCGATCTCCGCGGGACGCAAACAGACTAACTCAGACCTTTAAAGACGGTGAGCAAAGCCGGAGGGGAGCCAGGGCAGCGTCGCCTGGCGGGAAAAGGCGAACGCGCGTGCGGGGGGCCGAGCAGACGGAGGGCGCCAGACCGGGGTCCCGCCGTGCCCCCGCGTCTTCACACTGCCCTCGGCTCGCCCTCCCCGGCCGCGGGGACCCCCGGCTGCCAGGCCCCGGCCGCCGCTGCCCCACGAGCCGCCAGCCGCCTTACCCGCCCGGCGGGGCCGCGGCCGCCGCTCCTCTCTGCGCAGAGCGTTCGAACCGGAACGCGGAGACACGTCGGCGCCGATTGGCGACGCTCCGTCACGTGATCGCAACGCTCCGCCGGCGCCAATTTCAAACAGCGGAACAAACTGAAAGCTCCGGTGCCGGACCCCACCCCCGGCCCCGGCCCGGGACCCCCTCCCCTCCCGGGCTCCCCCGGGGTTCCCACCCCTCCCGCACCGCCGGGACCCGGCCGGCCTGGCGCGAGTCCGTTTCCGGGCCCTGGCCCGGCCCCAGGTTGGAGAAGCCACAGGCGGCGGCCCTGGGATCTGGAGGTGAGCGGGGCGCAGGCATGGATCCCGGGCCCTGCCCTGGCGGAGCCGGGAGAAGGGCTCGGGCGCCGCTTCCGAAGGTCCTGCGTGAGTTCATGGCGTACAGCTGCAGGACGCGGGACGCGAGCGGAGGTTTGGGGCCACTCGGGAAGGGGGTCTGGGCGAGGGTGCTATATATATATATATATTTTTTTTTTTTTTTTTTTTCCTGCATCCAGTCTTCTGGCCTTGGCCATCTCGCTTCTTTCTCCATGCACCCCTTGGGCTTCCCTGCAAGTTTGACTTCTGCACCCTGCCCATGGCTCCAGAAGTGGCCTACTCTCTGAGTAGGGGACTGGGGCTGGGATGAAAACTGAGCTGGTTATGCATTGAGTAAAAGACCATCCCACATACACGCTCCCCTGCGCCCGGGTGTTCTCACCATTAGGCAACACTGCCTCCACCCTCTGCTTTTACATGGAGTGTAGCAAGGTTTCCCTGTTCAGAATGGGGATTGGAGCAAAGGAGTGACGCTATAAAGTGTTGGCATTATTAGGAAGAGGCAGGTTAAAGGAGTTGAAGAGAAAATTAAGACTCACTCTGTGGAAAAAAGGGAACAGTGCTTACCTATTGAGGTGAGTGGGCCTGGAGGGATATGAGGCAGAATTAAAATTGAGTTTTGAAGGTAGAGAAAACTGAAATATAGAGGGAAGGAAGATGACAGGGTGGGGAAGGCCTGAGAACTCTAAGCAGATGGTAAATGTCAAAAAAGTGCACTCATTCTTATGGGCATAGAAGGTGTCCTCAAAAGGGTCATCGAATTCCTCTGTCTCTCAAAGGACCTCAAAATATAATGCTAGGATTGTACTTAATGGTAGAATAGTTCGCATATCTATAAAAATCAAAATAACCCCCCCCCCTTTTTAAAGATAAGATTTCTTAGCATTTCAGAACCACCTTAGCATATTAATTATAGCACAATCTAGAAGTCCAGAGATAGTTATAGTCTTGGTTCTGGAAGATAAATTAAATAGTAAAGTAGCATTCTTACAAAGTTAAAATATGGTGGAGCTCAGGATATAGCTCAGTTGGTAGAGTGCTTGCCTTGCATGCACAAGGCCCTGGGTTCAATCCTCAGCACCACCCCCCAAAATAAAACAAAACAAAGGTAATATATGCAAAAACAGCTGGGCATGGTATGAGCACATACCTATAATCCCAGCAGGTTGAGGCAGGAGGATTCCAAGTTCAACCTGGAAAAATTAAAGCCTGTTTCAAAATAAAAAGGTATGGGGGGATAGTTCAGTAGTAAAGAGCCTCTGGATTCAAACCCCATTACTGGGTGGGGGTGGGTATATGGAAATACTACAATGTCACTATATAGCTCTTTTGCAAATTGTGAAAAAATACAGTTTTTAAAAATTAATACAAGAGATGAGCACGGTGGCACACACCTATAATCTCAGCGACTTAGGAAACTGAGGCAGGCGGATCACAAGTTCAAGGCCAATCAGCAATTTATCAAAGCTCTAAGCAATTTAGCAAGATCCTATCTGAACATGAAAAGGTCTGTGGATATAGTTCAATGGTAAAGTGACCGTGTGTTCAATCCCCAGTACCAAAACTTAAAAAAAAAATTAATGCAAGAGGGCTGGGGTTGGGGATCAGTGATAGAGTAGGGATCTGTGAGAGTATTTGCTTAGCATTCATAAAGACCCTGGGCTCCATCCCTAGCACTACAAAAAAAAAAAATTCAAGACTCCTATGATGTAAATTGTACCCAACAGAGTTGTGCAGTGCAAAATCTGTATTACTTTATCATGGGCTTTTTGAATAGAGAAGTTTTGTGAACTGGGAGATGATTTCTCCAGTGATGTGGCATTACTACAATCTGCCTTTATCTCCTGATTCTGTAGGCATTGATTGTTATCATTTACAAAGTAAATTGACATAAAAATATAAAGGATATTGACATAAAAATATAATCTCAGCTACTCAGAGGCTGAAATAGGAGAACCATAGTTTGAGGCCAACCAAGGCAATTTAGTGAGACTCTGTTGAAAAGAAAAATGAAAAGGGTTGGAGCCATAGCCCAGTGGTAGAGCATTTCTGGGTTATATTTCTAGAACAATACGGAAGCAAATATGTATTTGTGTGTCTATGTACACAAATATATACACACACATTTATACAAGGGCTTTATCTAATATATACACACACATATTTGTACAAAGGCTTTATCTAAGAATAGGTTATTGGATCAGAGTTTTGTGCGGGCTTCTAATTATCATGTTTTCCTATTTCAGCATTTTCCATTTCCATCCCTATAGTCACTATAAGTAATCTATCTGTATTATAGTTGGCAATAATAGTTTTCAACATTTTTGCAGCTGTCTCACTCATTCTTGTAGTCATTCTTAAGCTTCCAGGAGACATTTGACTATCTCCAGTCCAATCTGTCTCCCCCCACCACCTTGAATTACTTGCTACAGTTGTAGCTTTCTTTGGCCAGTAGGGTTTATCTCCTTATTGTCTGAGGTTTTTATAAAGGACTAGGGAGCATTCACCTGGGCCTTTAGGCTTATGTTCTTGACCATATGTGCAGAGGAACACCTTTCTGTGAGAGAACCCCTTCTCAGCTTAACAATCTCTTTATGTCCTACTGTTCCTTGTACCTTGTAGGGTCCATTCTTGTGATTCTCAATGGAGAGTGAAAGCACAGATTAATAATGAAAACCAGCCCCCGGCGGCCACTGATTCTCAAAAGACGGAGGCTGCCTCTTCCTGTTCAAGATGCCCCACGTGACACACCAGAGGAGGAACCTAAGAGACCCCCTGCCCAAGAGGAGCCTAGTCAAGTACAGGCCTCCAAAGAGGTGGCCGAGTCCAACTCTTGCAAGTTTCCAACTGGGATCAAGATTATTAACCACCCTACCATGCCCAACACACAGGTGGTGGCCATCCCCAACAATGCTGATATCCAAAGCATCATCACAGCATTGACTGCCAAAGGAAAGGAGAGTGGCAGCAGTGGGCCCAACAAATTCATCCTTATCAGCTGTGGGGGAGCCTCAACTCACCCTTCAGGACGTCAGCCTCAACCCCAGACCAGCAATGATTCCAAGAAGACAGAAATTATTACAGAAATATTGGGACCAAGGCCTGCCACTAGGGAT